ACATGATTAATCTATAATTTGGCGATTAAGAAGGCCTTAACACGTTGATTTTCCTCCGGTACAATTGATAGACGCAAGCCCCGCAATTACGATAATCCACTCGATAATCAGCATCCATGACGAAACTTCGATGGTTACTGACAACGGATGTAAATCAACGCGTTCCGGAAGAAGTGTGAGGATTCCGGAACACCTGAACGACTACTAAGCGCAGACCACAACATAACAGTATGACTCGTTCCATTATTTTTTGTACTATAGTCTCAACAAAGCCGAAATGAAACAATTTTCTGTTAATATATTTATTTATGTATATTTATGTACATATGTTCTTTTTTCAAGAACATTGAAAAGAGTCGCGCAAAAATTGTTGTATGCTATTGCATAATGGTGGGGAGATAACTTCAATCCACCCATGTCTGTAGGGCAGAACATTTTGTTAAATTAAGGCTCCTTATGGTCTAGTGGAATGTCACGAACTAGTAGTATTGATGCTGATTTATCATGCTAAATACTTTATTAAATCGTGTTTCGAACGTTGAATTTGTTTCACTTCCTACACAGTAATCCTATTACAAGCAAACTAAACAATTCGATAAAAAAGAAGCCTATCAAGACCCTATAAAATCTAAAAGAGGCTCAACCATTTGTGTATCATAGTACTGTTTTTAACACTTTATTTTATAACTACACATATCCCCATACTCTCAGTTTCCTTCTGAACCACCTCCATTTGTCAGTTATTTATCCACTCACACCTTGTTTACACTTGAAGATGCCACAGGAATTCGGAGTTTGACAACGCTTTAACCAGTAACACCTTCTAATACGAAGCGCACCCACCAAGTGAAATCATAAGATAGAAGTGAGGAGATCGAAGATATATTTGATAAGCTATCAATATGTCGAGGATCGTTTGCATTAATCTGGCTAGCGATTGCGGCAGATGTTGAGCACGGCGTTCCCACACGTGATCTGGAGCGGATGCTTGATCGAGCGCCTTCAGCTAGATGAGTCCACTAAAACTGTGGTCAGCATCCAATGTCGAAAACTTACAGAGCTATTTGATTTTGGGGAATTATTTACCGCTACACACTTGTTTTCTTTAACTTATTAGGATGCTCCTGCTTACTTAATATTTTTAATAAAAGCGAATCAGACTGAGTAGTCATACCTTAACTGTTTCTTCATGAACATTGTCTGCTCCGCTTCTCGTCCTTTTTTTTGTTTTCTTTATTTATTTATTTTCTTTTTTCTCTTGCGCCATTTTTCAGTCCCCTTGAGATTCGGAACGGGTTACCTGGTCCTGCACCATCCTTAAAGCCTCAAATATTCCAAAAAGATATAAGATTGCGATTTCAAGAAGCCCTCAACTGCACATGAATCTATCATCGACCCTCAGTTGCACGTTGCGACGCAACTTTCATGAAGCGCGCCAACTGTGATACTGTCTACAACCATTCTACATCCATATCTTATAAATTATCAACCCAGCTGAGTAATTTACTACAGTTGGAAATTGTATCGTTTGTGACAATTTGATTTTGCCTGTAAACTGGCATGCCTCATGTAACAAAATGTTATTTGAGAATAAATTATTATTATTATTATTATTATTATTATTATTATTATTATTACAAGCGCATTTCGGCTTGCAATTACTTAGCATTTTTCATGTTCCAGGACGGCTGGTTAAGATAAATAAATGACGAAGTTTACGATGAATCCAAATCTGTTTTTCATCACCATATTGTACCATATAGCCTCTTATGGTAAGTAGAGACGACCAGACGCTGCTGAACATAGCAAGCTGTCAGAAGAGCGTTTATCGACGACAAAGAGATTGGGTTTATACTTTCATCTGACTATATCTTAGAGTCAAAAAACTAGTTGAAGAAATTGAAATGATCTATTTGAAAATGGATCACGCCAGTTTGAATGAATTCCCTAACAGGCCTCTAAAGCTGCTGGTCATGCAGTCCAATTTAAAGGATGACGTTTTAACTTATGACGTCCATTACAATTGTTTGCTGTACGATATATATCTGTTAACACGTGAACGTTGCTAGGAATTCTACCTTATGAACACCCAAATATCCACCATGGAGATTGTCATATTCATTTTTGCGCAACGAGTGATAAATTCGGGGACAAAGCAGGACTAATATGTAAGAACATGTAAGCATAGTCATTATTCGTCATATTTTTGGGAAAACGTGCATTTCTAAGCATGACTAGTCGCTTCATATTTGATCGGAAACTGTTATCACTAACTAGGTATCTGAATACAGCAATACGTCTCTGCTCATGAGTTACTTTATCAGCACCATGAATAATAATATCATCTTAATAACCTTCGTCACTGACTTCACTATTCAACACTTCTTAAAACATGACAAGTGAACAAATTTAATCCAGTGGAAGAGAGTTAAATCTGAATAAAACAAAGGCGATAGTGTTAGTCGTCAAAATAGATGGAGATTTATCTGAGAGAACCTGAAGATGAGCATATATTACACCAACTTTTGAGAATACATTAAGATCATGAAGTCGATTGAGAATGTCCTCAGCAACTGCCGTGGTTTATGCTTTCCTCAACAAACGAAAAGAAATGTTGATCTGTAAGCACCACATATCCTAGAGGTTTCGCCATCAGACCTCAAAGGCGTAAGAATAAGAGTACCTATGGTGATTAGAAATAGGCGAATTGATGTGCAAACTAAGAATTCACATAGTAGTCCAATTTATGACATACAGAACTCGACGAGTTCAAACCAATGTTTTTTCTTTGCAAATTGAATGAGCCGTGGAATTAAGTATAAATGTGCAGTCAATGAATTTTGATACTACACTTCCTCAAGCTGAACACCAAATCGATTCAGTGATTCTTTTTTCCACACAAGCCATTCTGTGCCTTACGCATTGCTTCTTGAAAACTAAAGGACTATTTGGCTTTAGAACGAGTGGATCACTCTACGTATGATGTTCTATATGCAGGATTCTCATCTCTATACTGCAGTTGATACATGCAGCTATCAAACCATCAGAATCAGAGCTAGGCATGAAGTTGACCATCAAGTTTGCATTTAGCCGTTTGTTTTTGTGGTGAGACCATAATTTACGGATAACCTATGAGAGATGCTAAAGATTTTGAAACAACCTGCCCACGTACCAGTGTTAAAAGGGTTTTTGAACTAGTATGAAGAATGCGACAATTTTTAATACCAAAATGCTATTTGTCTACATGGACGAATGAATTTAGCGCCAAAATCTAGTACTTGCTGCCATTAATTCAATTGGTTCGTCCATAAATTAAGGACTCGCTGTTTCTGCGATTCTATAATAAACTACCTAACTCTCCAGTGTTCCTGATGAATCATTTTGTAAAATTTCACTCTTTCCCAGAATTCAAGGTTTATTCACTTTAAACAACTTAGCAGTGGCTCTTTAATAGCTTTGTAGCGCGGTGTCGAGTTGAGCTTGACTATGAACACCGCTACAAGACTACGTGCCAATTAACCAAAAAGATCCTCGTAGACCAATGTCAGAAGGCAGATAATAGTAGCAGTTGAAGTATATTTGCTGGCAATCTCGTGGTATCGAAAGAATACCGAGATCGTGCCAAAGGAGTACGAGTGGGATCGGCAGGACAAAGTACGTGCGTAGAGTCAAAAACCGCGTAGAAGTAATGGAGTACAATGGAAGACCAATATGGCTGTTATTAGCACAGTTAAACAAACAAACACAGCAAAACAGTCACTGGTACAATTGGTTATAAAAATAATTGTTTTCGTCGAACCAATCGCGTTCTGTTGACAAAAGTAGGTCACTACAGCTTAAAGGCGGAGTGAAATATGCCCTTTTGGAAATGCCAATTTTTTTTTCAGCTCTAGGCTTCCGTTCCGATAAATGTAAGTAAATGAGACACAATTTTACCATTTTTAAGATCTTTCGTTATCATACTCCAGATTTCGAAACCCTCTATTTACTCCAACTACTTAACTACAGGCTCTATCGCGACGCCAATATATTTCGGAGCACTAGGGGTTTGTATGCAATTAGTAATACCAAGGACCGTTCACTTCGTACTCTAGTAACCACGTATGATTCTCTACTCAAGTTAGAGACGACTCTGTAAACACAGTCGAAGGTAAAGCGTTTGGGATTCGAATCAGTCGCTGAATAATGTACAGGAGAATAGTCGATTAGTACAAATGCCTTAAATCCGTCTTGTGAGTTTCGAAGAGTCCCCGATTCTACCATGAAGTATTATAACCCCTCTATATGAAAACCGTGTATTTACCATTACAGTGTGCAAATTATTTAAATAACGTTTACGGTTAGCGTTTGTCTAGTAAGGTCTTTTTTTACGCGGTAATAATGTTAACCTTGCGGTTAAGCCCCCTATGTTACCTGGATATAGAAGTATCAGTAACCGTAGACGGGCTCCACCTGGTGTTATGTGAAAGTATTAGCTTCAATTTATTGCTATAAAAAAGATCTAGGAAATTAGATTCACCAATAAGCTTTATTTCCGTCTTCTAACTGCAGTAAGCAAATACACAAAAATCTCAATACCTCTCAAATCTCTGAACGAAAACTAGGTGATAAAGCATTTTAAATAGATTTTAGCCTCACGTGTTTTTGCGTGAAGCGACTTCCCAAGATCTCTTAGGTCTATGACTGCAGTGACTCCGAATGTGAACTACATTTGGAACTTATAACAACAGAGTTAAATCCATTTGGAACACGAATTTAAAAATAAAACACTCTGTTATTCTAAATCAGATGTATTGTGTACTATATTATAGTAGTCCAAATAGTAGCGAAATATTTAAACTGTACGATAAGTCAAATAGCTGTTCACAGTCTTTCCTTGTGTTTATAGACTGTATTAGCTACAGTTGAATGTAATGTTTTTCAAGTCCGAACAATGATGCTAGTTGACTAACTTTTTACATTCTCGTTTCTAATTAACAATATTTTTACATTTCTTGTGTTCGGCCTACATGGTAATAGACAGTAGACAGTCTTTTAAAATTATTTCTGTCATCACAAAAGAGTTTTCCATCTATTTTGTTTTTATAATCTTCTCTTGGCTACTTCAGTATTCATATGTGCCTAATGTACACATCATCTCACTGAACAACAAGTCATTTCCTACACATAGTATGAGTTAAAAATATGTTTACAAAATGTTTCTATCACTACCACATTTTTTTTAAACCAGAAAATATAAAGCACTAATTTCAGATTAAATGCTTGGTCAGCCATTTTTTCAACCAGATAATTCACTCCATCGTCTTAAATAGCTTTAATCATGCTCCTAAGTGAAAGAAATTTAAATTCTCTATTATTTCAATATTCATAAAGCGAACTACAAAAATATGATAAACTATAAAATTGAGTTTGTTAAGCAAAATACAATTCATGAAAGACAAGTAGAGAGAATAGATAGATTTTTAAAATATAATCTCAGTTAAAATAAATCATCATGGATTTAACTAAAGAAGAAGTTAGACAAAACGTTCAAGGGTAAAAAGTTAATGAAAAATAAATTTAAGCTGGATATATAGGCAGCTATCATCAAAGCAGTTGAAGTAAAATAAAATAATAATAATAATAATAATAATAACAATAACAAATAAATAATATTAGGCATTTTTTTTTGTTTTTTGCAAACGTTTCGAAGTGTATTCAAAACATCACTTTGAAATCTACTAAACTGACAAATAAACAAAATATTAATACCCCATGAACAGATGATAATAATTAGAGCCTTGAACAGTGATCATGCGTATGACTACCTGATAAATCTAATGAGAAAGATACGAGCAATAAAATAAATAGAATAACATAGAAAAAAACAAACATTCATTGATACAACATTAGAAACAATGTTGCATGATTATGATCTGAATTATTTTTACTCTTTATATGAGTATACTATGAAATTATTAATATGAAAACATTTAACTTTTCAGAATATATTTTTCCAATAATGATACATATTATAACCATATTTTGCATATAGAAGTCAATTTTGTCTCGGTTTGTTGAGTGTCCAGGCTGAAATAATTTGCTGTTTCAAAACCATTAAGTCTGATGCACCATTTGGTCAGTTTAATATTACGATCTATCGAAAATTGTTTCATGCACTGATAGAAATAAGAAAAACTGTTCACTAACTTAAAAGGGATAGATATTTCTTCTTTAATCCGAAATGATTATTCTTTGAAAATACTTCAATACGGCCAAATTTTGATTTAGAAAAGAAAATACGTTACAACAATAAACAACAGTAAATCTGTGTCTGGTGTTGATAATCGTATCATTTCCTCTGAAATGCTATAGATCAAATGATTTACACACACTAATAAAACTTCAGTTGTATAATGAATGACTGCTTACCAGTTTACACATGACTATAATAAAGAAATAGTATCATCAATGTTCTAAATATTATCTAAACCGATTTCCCTCCAAATTTATCAACGACAATCACAAAACTGGCATATCTAACTATGCAAGTTTTGAAAACTTCATGCCTAAATAAGTTTCAGCAATTTACCAATAATAAGAAACAATTAGTTGAGTTGAGTAGGATTGGTGTAGCTAAGCTAAAACCCGGTCAACTTATTAACATTGAAAAACTGATATTTTGGGAATAATTTGCTAATAAAAGGTAACCGACGCAAGTCAATCTAACCGAAGATAGTTTTTGTCAAATAGTGACATCAGTTGGGGAATCATGGAACAACAGATAACTTTGTCCTAGTTTCGAACTACTGAGCAGTCCGAAATCCCTGTCTTCAGTTTTAGCATAATAATTTCAAAGATTGAGTCAGAATCCAGCGGTTACCGTTTCCATCTTTGGTCACTTCTCATTAAAGTGCGACATTCCTTCGACAGAATTCGGGGAAAAATCCTTCATATCTACAAAAATTTCGTTTCTCACTAGAACGTCGAAATTCCATCTCAAATTTTCTCACTATGTAGTAGATGATTGATACAAAGGCGCTGTCTAGCTGGTGGTAGTCCATGATGAAAATTATTTTTACCTTTTGTTTTCAAAAAATATATTCTATGACAGTACCTATTGGAAGTTTCGGTAGCTTCATATGAATGTGAATATTAGATATAGTCTCCGATGTATACACTTAACCATGTACTCATAAATTTATAGTTGCTTGAAAAAAAACAACTAGGAAAAGTGTTAGATGGAACGACATCAAAGACGGGAGATTTTTATCGGTATGTAAACCTCAAATCTTAAAGAAGAATAATACGTATTTTGTGATTAACAAGCATGAAAGTAAGCTAATATAATGCAAGAGATAAAAACAAGAACAGATATCTTGTAAAGCTCATCACTAATAAACTAAACAACTCATCGACAGTATGTTACACATTTCAGTAAGTGGTACAAAATTTGCTACGAACCAATTACACTTTTTCTTCTCGAAAGAAATTAAAACCTCAAATTGTTTGTTATTAAAGGCCAAAAGTTCTTTTCGATTCAGTATTGCCTTAAGATTTATCAGCGACTGAAAAGTTGTTCAACTGTGAATCTATGTATTACACACCATTGATTCCATGGAACATCAACGATGAAGCGCACCTTTGTACGACTTACTTTATCCATCATATGAAAACAAACATTTCAAGTGGAATAAAATTGATTTATCACTTAATATAATAATTTCAAATGTGAAGAGATAAACCAAATTATAAAAGTCTAAGCCCTGATCAAGAAAATAAAATAGCCAAGTGTTGCTACACAGTGCTTTCAATTTATAAGGAAGCCAACATAAACTGCGAACATTATGAAGGAGAACTCAGATTAGAGCCTTTCTTACCGTTAGTTTCATCGTTTACTTTGTTTTCCTTCAAATCTTTTCCAGACTGTTCATCTTCTAGTTCTTCATCTTCTTCTTTTATGGGTTCACGAACAACATTAGTAGCTGTAGTGTAAGGAAACGACTGTCTACGGTCATCTGACTCACCACGTGGACTGTCACCTTCATTAGGATAATTAGACCTTGAAGGAGCTGGTGAATTTGTACTTGGCTTAATTAATGAACAAATGTATTAAAAGTTACTTAGATATACTGCAAAACTATATTTTTGAGGAAGTAATGAAATGTAGTTTAAATATAGGTAATCATGTATAGCGTTCTTGACTGTTTACTAAAATGAATACTCAGTTCAGATTTTCATCTAAAGATCTGTGTTATAAAGCGTTGGGTTAGATAATATTCCCATTTGGTACCTATAACTAATAAGAACTACACAACTATTTATAGAATTATTTAGACAAAATTGATTGCAACTTTACTCAACACTCCTCAGTCTTTTCGATTAAAAGCTATTCTCTAGATAACTTAACAGATAGCGATACAATCAAAGAAATGCCTTGGGTTTTAATTCGTATCCGATTAACCGAATTAATTATTTACAATAATTCAGTAATAACATGAAATATGTTGGTAAAATTCGTGGCGAAGCTACATTATCTAGGTAGACATAATCGTTACCTAGGCGCTTTATGTATATCGCCTCGTTAACAGATAATCGTGTAGTTATTTTATTGAATTAACTGAACCACCATATACATGGACGTAACTATTCGTTATTATAAGTCACCATTCACAATAAATCAAAATATTTATTGCACAAGATTTGATCATTGGCCGTTTGATGAGGCAATCGAGTACACATATTTTCATAATTTAATGTTCCTCAAAGTGTATTGTGAGTTGAGGTTGATGTCATGCAAATCTAGAGAACAATCCTCGTAAAAAGTGATACATTTTTCTCATGCTGATAAAATAACATACTTTAACACTGGCATGCTATAAAAGCTGAACATTTTACGATAGTCTGTTACATATTTTATGTGATTGACTCAAGTATTGGAAGGGTTCTTATTTCACATAACTTTCTAGAGGGTCTAAATTAGTAGCCGCTGAATTTTTAATTTCTTAAGAAGTGATACATGTAGTTTCTGCAGTCTAGTAGAACGTGAAAGATAAATTACTGCAAAAATTTACTTACTTCTATATTATTTGATTATTTGCTTTTAATATCCATTATTTAATGACAAGTCTATTGTTTTGATTGCATTTATTGTTAACCTAACATTTACTTGATCCCCTGTTGTCTAAGATTAGTAAAATACCAAGTTACTCAAATACATTCGGCTACGCATGTTTTGATTATGATCTGTAAAAGTCATAAAGTATCTCAACAACTCGAATGTATATTATTTATAGTCAGCACACTTGACCAACAAGACGAATTACAGCTTCATATGTTGATTGGCAGATTTCAACTGTCCTGTAAGCAGAATCGATTTAGATTGCAGCCCTATTTTAAAGTCATTCTAATTTATGTTTCCTATCTACCTTTGATTTAAATATTCATCGCTTAACATTAATTATAACACTGTTTTCAATTACTAGATTAAAGTCACTAAAATAAACTGATAAGCTGTTGAATAGTGAATATGTATTAGGGAGTATAAATAAGTTAGACATAGGTTGTGGGTAATAATACATGTTACTGACACCCAGGATTTTGGTCAGCTAAAAAATATTAAAAAGTGAAAAGTCAGAACATCTGATAAAACAATCCTCTTGAATACCTACTTTCAGTGGCTATCATTAAGATACTAACAAGTTAAACCACAAGATGGCTGTTTAGTTTTTCAATCAACCAATTTTAATGAAGTCTACAAACTAACAGATAAATTGACAAACTATTGCTGAATTGCAGGCGGATGCTATGGTTTTATTACTTGTATAACGATAAAGGCTGTATTCCAAGCTCCTGCATTTGAGGTAAATGACTTACTTACTTACTTACGTCTGTTACTCCTTATAGAGCAGCATAAACCGCCCACCAACATTCTCCATCGAACTCGGTCCTGAGAAGTCCTTTCTAGTTGCTATTAATCCTTTTGATATCTGCCTCCAATTCTCGGCGTGGTGTTCTTTGGCCTTCCTCTTTTCAGTTTCCCTTCAGAATTTCAAATTAGCGCTTCCCTCGCTATGCAGTTTGATGATTTCTGTAATGTGTCATATCCACCTGAAGCGTCTTTTCCTGATTTCCTCTTCAGCTGGGACCTGGTTTGTTCTCTCCCATGGTAGGTTGTTGCTGAAAGTATCCGGCAGACGGACATTGAGTATCTTGTGTAGACGATTGTTTATAACTACTTGTGATGAGTCTGTCAGCTGTCCTCCATGCACGACTTTGCAGTGTAGTCCTTCGTATGAATTCCGTATGGTATTGATGATCCCGGGTACACCATATTGTCGAAGGTTTCATGAGGTTCTCTTATCCACACTGTCAAACGTTTTCTCATGGTCAAAGCAGGTGATGTATATATGATGGAGAAGATTTGTAGTTCACGCAGATGATTTAAAAAACTCCACCTGGAGCTATTGCCGGTCCAAAGCCCGGATAAAGGAGGAGGGTTGGGCAGGGGGTTAGCGACCCCATCCTGTAGTAAACTAACTCGCTAAAAACGCTAATCAAAAAAATAATTCAAACTATCTAAACTCTGCCCTGGTAGTAAGACGGTCTTCCATTTAGAAGAGTTATGACGCCTCAATGTGAAAGCCAAGTTCCCTCGGAAGTCTGACAACCAGAGCAATCATTAATTTAGATAAATGAAATGCGGGGGACTGAGAGAGTCATCCGAATTGCTGCAGAAAAAAAACGAGACCAACAGGCTGGATTCCGTAAGATCGATCGTGTACCGACCAAATCACAACACTACGGATCACTGTGGAATAATCAATTGAGCGGAATTCATCACTCTGTATCAACTTCATTGACTATGAGAAAGCAGTCGATATCGCGGTTAGGACAACACTATGGAAGCTTCTCCGACATTACTGCATGCCTGAGAAGACAATCAATATCATACAGAATTCTTATGATGGATTGAACTGCAAAATCGTTCATGGAGGACAGTTGACAAACTCGTTAGAAGTAAAGACCGGTGTCAGGCAATGTTGCTTACTCTCACCCTTTCTCTTTCTCCTGGTGATCGATTGGATCATGAAGACGTTAACATCTGAGGGGAAGCACAGAATAAAGTGGAAATCTAGGATGCAGCTGGACGATCTAGACTTCGCAGATGATTTGGCTCTTCTACAGCACACGCAACAACGAGTGCAGAAGACGACCAATGTAGCAGTAGTCTCAGCAGCAGGTCTCAACATAGACAAAAGGAAAAGCACGATTCTCCAGTACAACACAACATGCATCAATTGAACCATACTTGACCGAGAAGCTTTGGAAGATATAGAAACCTTTTTACATATCTGGGCAGCATCACTGATGAGCACGGTGGCTCTGATGCAGATATGAAGGCGCGGATCAGCAAAGCAAGAGCAGCATATCTACAACTGAAGAACATCTGGAACTCTTAACAATTGGCAACCAACACCAAGGTCAGGATTTCCAATACAAATGTCAAGACAGTTCTACTGTATGCGGCGAAAACCTGAAGAACTACGAAAGCCATCATTTAGAAGATACAGGTGTTTATCAATAATTGTCTACGCAAGATACTTCGAATCCGTTGGCCGGACACTATCAGCAACAACCTACTGTGGGAGATAACAGACTAGAACCCAGAGGAAGAAGTGCTGGAAGTGGATAGGACAGACATTGAGGAAAGCACCCAACTGCGTCACAAGGCAAGCTCTCATTTGGAATCCTCAAGGCCAAAAGAGGAGAGGAAGACTAAAGAACACATTACGCCGAAAAATGGAGACAGACATGAGAAGAATGAACAAAAATTGGATAGAACTAGAAAGGAAGGCCCAGGACAGAGTGACTTGGAGAATGCTGGTCGGTGGCCTATGCTCCATAGGGGGTATCAGGCGCAAGTAAGTAAGTAATACTACTAGGAGTTTCGAGTTCTGTTCCGTTTAGTAAATGTACAAAAGCTTATGAGAAGCACTAAGGATAATTTAAAGAAACTGAGAGAGTATTACATTAAATTTCATGGATAGGTAAACGTTTTCATTGATTATTCGGTACACTTTCGATGTAAAAAATGCAAAGTAATATGTGTGTGAATCGCACATTCTTAATATTTTGAGCCATTTAGACACTTCAATTGATCCAAACCAAAAAAATTTTTTTATTTTGTAGTATGGCGCCTTATTTGGCGCAAAAGTACTGAATCAAAATAATATTTTCAGATAGCTAAAAATATTTTTAATTTAGAACAAATTAGCTACAGTAATATAATCTCACTAGCTTACCATCTGCATCTGTCGTGCTGTGGATAAAGCTGCCATAAGATCGCGTAGTTCTGGACCAACAGGAACACTGAAGATAAACATATTTAGTGTGATTTGTAAGCATTATAAATCTAAGTAATAAGTAATTTAGATGCACAAGCTACGTACAAATCATAGCAAATTCAACCGAAAACTATAGCAAAACAATTTTGAATTTTTTTAACAGGAATTTTTGAAACCAATATGTCCATTAAACCTCAGTGAAGATTACAAGGTTACAATGTACACTGAAAAAACTATAGTTGAGAAAAACAGTCGCTCTCAAAAACAAGCTTGTTTCATCATCAAAGTTCCTGTTTTTTTTTAACAGAAATATCCTTAAGTTTATCAATCTTCTAAATATTTCAGACTGGTAGACACGTATTACAGTACAAGCCACTTACATTTGTCAGAATAAAATGTACTATTTTACTATTAGGACTTCAAACTCGACTATCCGCCAAAGTTTTTATGCATTAAACCAAGCACTAAAAAGGATCATTTATTATCAGAAATGTGAATAATTACAAACTTTGTACACTATTCAGAGTTACGTTAAGTTTTCTCATTAACCTCAAAAAGCCAAGACACTGCTGTAATAAAAGGATAATGTATTTAAACCGAGGTAATACAAGACAATACAATAACTCATAGAATCCATTTCGTAAGCAATAACCAGTTATAATTTATGTTCATACAGATCAGTATAAAAAGTTACTACAAGTTGAACAATACTGATACTAAGTTTACATTTTGGAGAGTAAATAATATATATATATATATATATATATATATATATATATATATATATAGTGACTTCTTGAAAGTTATCTTTGAATAAAATTAATACTTTAATGAAATAGAATTTTAAACGTCAAATCTTCTGATATCATACAATATCGAATATTGATAGCCAATAAACAGTCAAAAATTTTTTTGAACAAGATGATAAAGTTTAGATTGTTTCCAAGGTATGTATCCTAAGATAAAGCTAATTAGTTTAAAAAGTATTGCAACAGTTGTGATGTTTCGTCAAAACAAAGTTTTAAAATTTAATCAGAAAAAAATGTGAGTGGTTACTGAATTTTACAGGAGAACAGTGTATAAAAATAAGTTTTTGTATAGAAATACAGTGTGTCACACACAACAAGAGCACAGTCACTTTTAATTTGATCAGTCTAACAGATTGATACTAAAAAATGAGTTATAGACAGCTATGATACCAGTAAAATCCATATTGTGAATGGTGTCTAGACTATAGGACAATTGATAAATGTCAGAATTTTGAGTTATCATATTTAACCCTTGAAGTAAGTCTTCAACTGAAAGTTGATTATAGAAGAGAGAGAGAGTGAAAGGTAAGTTTTGTTTGAAATATTTTAACAGTTAATTGATAAAAATGTAAATTAAACCATTTTTCATCACGAAGTAGTTAATACCAATTAAATTTGGGAAATAATGAATCTCATTTCTAACGAATAAATCCAGCGTTAAATCAACCTATTCTTAAGCAGTTAGCCTCTCAATGAAGCAATGTGTATACTTGTTTGAAATTAAAAAACCAAACACTTTTAAATTTTTCAAAGCTTTAAAAAGATGAACATGTAACGAAGATTATTTGTAGTCAAAGAATTATGAGCATAGTAAGGACATGATAAGAGATATAATTATAAAGGTGGTATATAATAATCGCTTTCTAAAAAATAACCTACCACCAACAACAAAAAATATTTCATCCAGGTGAAAGAATGAAATCAACATATTGTAACCGTTATTTAAATCGTAAGAGTTGGGTGAATATAAAACTTCAGAGAACTAGAAAAAATTACTTTTAAAGTATCCCAGCTTGTGAAACACTGTTTTCAAGACACATATTTTATATACAAGTAACACATTCTTAATTTACGCTGAATAACAGTATCATACATCTTTTGATTCAACGCGCTAATAATCTGAGCAAAACGTAAGTTAGATAGAATGACATATTTTGAAGATGAAGCTCATACGACGTTGTAGGAAGTCGATAGTGCACCTGTTACGCAAATATATTTCTTTTTCAAATTTAGGACAATTGTGATCAAATAATAATAAATAAAATTATCAAAAGGGGTTTTGTGGAGATTTTAGTAATTTTATAATTAAATCCATGTGTCAATTGAAGTTAGACCAACATGGAAAACCTGGAATCACTGGACGGCCGTTTTGTCCTAGTATGCGACTCCTCAGCAGTGCGCACCCACGGACCCGCACCGCAAGATTCGAACCCAGGACCCGTCGGTCTCGTGCGCAAACGCTTAACTTCTAGACCACTGACTCGGCATCCAACGGTGTTAATGTCTAACTTCAACCAATCCACGAAATCGAGCCACCATCTACAATTGTCTTCAGTGAGTTACTATCTCACAACAGACCCGGTTGAACTCCACTGGTCACTGCCTCTCACTAGAACTCCAGGAAATACCTTTTGAAGCCAATCACTATAAATAAAATTGTGATGTTTGAATGGACTGATAGTTGCTGAATGCTTGATTTCGAATTTCAAATACAGTACATTCGTTAGTGCTTGCCTAGTACTTCTTGATTCAATTGCGTTATTTCTGGGCTTCTTAATACTATAATTCAAATACTCCTAATCATCATAAAAATACTTGTAAACTGAAGGTTGAAAAAACTTTCCGTTAAAAATTAGTATAGACGAAGATAATGCGTCAAGTTTGTTGGATATACAAAACGCTAGGATATTTTTCATTAAGATGGTGTAATGCACGGTATATCACCACAGCCAAAACTTAATTGTATCGTCACTATTACGAACACTTTTACCTCATTAATGAACTAAGCGCAACTTTGCACAGATTCTATCTGCAGTAATATGATCAAGAGTCAATTTTATTTAGGTGTGTTCAATATTGATTCGAGTGTTCCGTCTCTAAGCTGAAATTTGAATAAGTCAAGTTCATAAGTGAAGGGCTTATCTATTTACTCAAGTTAACTTTCAAAAGGTGTATGTTTCAGCGAGTAAACATTTTCAAATTGGAAAACATGAGCCTTTTATGTAACAACTAGGATTTTATCATTGTTGTGTGTCTGAAATAATCATTTCGATTGTTATCTTCTAAGTCTAACCATAAAAAGACGATTCACACTATGATAACCTATCTAACCCACAATACAGCATATTTAACAAAACACTTTCTCAGATTATATCAAAAAATTCCATGTTTTTCTAGACCACATGTACATCTAAATGATCTTGAAGAATCCAGTTTGTCCATGTCTGATTTAAATCATAAACACTAATAACAAATAAAAGCATGGTCTTCGAAACCATGTTTCAACTTACAAGCACCCTTACAAATGTGAAAGTTAGCTTAAAAGTTAAGTGAAAGGAACTCTTATTTAGTATTTTATAAACGATATCAGAAAACACACCAAGCTAACCAATTATCCAACAAAGCTTTGATGTTGTTACGAGTTAAAGCGGTTGTAATGCTCATAACATTTGCATAAAAATAAATCACCTGAACAAAGGAGCCTTAGGAACAAAATATAAAATAAATCAGAAACTACAAGAATTAATTATAAAGAGGTTACAGGCTATTTATTTTACTGATTCTTCTTCTCTATGCCCTAAGATTTTCCATTTGCAAGGGAGTGCTCTACCATGGAGGAACAAGCATTTATATAATAACGGTTACAAGGGTGATTGATCAACGAAGCAAAGCCACTGCAAACAATAATCTAAGAGATGAGTATTAAAAAATGGCTCAAGTATATTTATTAATATCCAGATCTAACGAATAACGGATTTTAGGAGTGAAATAGCTATAGATTAGGAATTGAAAGTAATAAGCATATTACTGATTAGTTCGATAATTTCAAGAGATATTTTCACCGTTATTTTATGTTGTATACTATAAACACCGTAGAGCTATCTGATTCATATAACCGTAAGGAATATTAGTTTTTTATGAATGTGTATTATGTTGCTTCCGAGTAACGAAGTGACGTTGTTAATGAGTAGAATATCCAATATCAGTGGATGCTTGCCTACATTATAATACAATTATAAAACATCATTAAGTTTTGATAGACTAAGTAACCTAAAATTAAAAGCCAAAACCTCTTGAATAAAAAAGAGATGTTAACTAGTACTTAGTGAAAGAACAGTTTTCAGTAACCATAACACAGATGGCCAGTTTCTACAGCCGACATACTGGGAATTTCATAATTATGGCTATTATTAATTTTACCATCTCTACAACTCCGTTACCCAGATAAAACACTCCGCCTGAAGTCCCTTTCGGAAGGCTACTGCGGGTCCCAAGCCCGGATAAAGGAGGAGGGTTGGGCATGGGGTTAGCGACCCATCCCGTAGAAAACTAACTCGCTAAAAAATGCTAACCAGTAAGGTTGGTTGAAGTTAGACCATTATACTATCAGGTTCCGGCTGATTGGTTAATAGTTTGCGCATAAAACCAAAGGTCCGGGGTTTGATTTCCGGGCATGGGGTCGCGCGTATGCACTACTGATTACTCCCACTCCTGGACTAAATGGAAATCTAGTATTTCAAGGTTTTCAGTGATTGTGTAACTTAGATGTACATGTGATTTCAGTGAATTTGAAAAACCTTTACAACTTCATACTAAAAATCCTGTGTCTACAAGAAAATAAACCAACTAACTAATTGGGAGCAATAATGTGGTTCCGTTAAGTGATCTCTTTGAGGATATATTTACAAGACTTTGCTTAAACCAACCTTTTCATCGAACTACATCTTTGCTTTCATGACTCAATGAATATTTTTCGTTTATTCGATCAATTGGTTCGTCGTATAATGTGCGACGTGAATATCCATAAACAGAACGAAAGACAAACAAAAAAGTTAATACTTTAAATCTGGCAATTTAGATATTTTTAGGCTAGAATTATGCAGATCCAAAATAAAATGAAATAGTTTATTTTACATTAATAATTCACTTATTCGAATAAATAATTAATTAGATGAAGATACGAAAAGAAATACTTGAACCCTTTACTACATATGTAAGACAACAGTTGAGTCATCAAACTAGGTTTACGCATATTTTTTGAACGATTCGGTAAGAGTGGACTCAAACATTTAGTAGCCACTACTTGTGATAAATTGACAATCAAAGAGCATCGGTTGAGAGAGATCCGAATTAAAGTAAACCTAGTATTATTATAGTATATTTCTGTTAATGCGCAAAAAGTATAACCATAGCACTTCTGAGAAAAAGTTAAATAAGCTTGTCTAAAGATTACCATATCTGCAAATGAACATCTCATGGAAATTAACGCAGCGTACTGTACTTACTTCAAATCATAAATAGACCCTTTCCTTGATCCGACATTTAAACGTCTTGACCGTTCCGTGTGGGGAAGTTCTACAACGGATTGTCTCCAATGGGCGTCTCGTACAATGGCAGGTGCACTTGTTCTTACTCCATCTACCACACACCACGAAATCTTCGAAACGAAGATCAAAACAGATTGATAACACTGGCCATGAAGTGGAATCCTTTAACAGCCACAGACTGTTGTTTTATGTCACATGATAGCATAAGCTACTGTTACATTTAGTTTAAATATTTCATTATATAAACGGAAGCAACAATACAGATTGTGAATTTTTAATATGTCTGTCAAGTCACTAAACTTTGAGATACCATAAAAACACCAAATCTATGGAAAATGTTATAATTATTCATAAGAAAAAGTTGAATAAACTGAAAACAAATAGATGTAGGATTATTTACTTAGCAGATATCCCAGTCTAAAATACACTAGACAAAACAGCTCTTTCTTGTATTCAAGCAAACATAAATAGTTTTGATTTTTTAGGCTGTGATACAGCTTATATCTAATGAATCCTCAAGACATTAGGCGAAAGATAAAACGATCTATCAGTAGCTTAAATTGTCATCTGCTTATATTTAATACACCAGTCTTTCTTGATTGCTTTCTAAATTTTATAACTGTATCGATAAGTGAAGTTAGTGACTTCTGTGACAAACTTTTTAATGTATTTTTTTTTATTCATTTAGATTAGACGTTTATTAATTCACTGTGTTTCAGCATACTAATTCCTATAAGTAATATCAGTTCATTACTGTGAAACAGACAGAATTCTTTACAATCAGCAGAATGATAGTTTGTACATTAATTAGAAAATTCTTGTTATAGTTCAATATATAAGTTATTTATTGAAACATATTGAAATTTATGAATAAATTCTAGTATTAATGATTGTATAATTATCATCATTTATAGAAAGGTGATTCATTGAATTAAAAATCATTATATGCCTCATCTTAATTAATTTACAATACAATTATTATTACTGACAAATCTAACTTGAACATTTGAAAGTTATTTCAATAAAATAGGATTATGGGTTTAGCTTTTGAAATCAAACTATAGTAATTTATTAACATTTGTCTGTGATAAAAAAACCTTCGAATCACTGAAATATTGTCGTAAAAAATAAACCTAATTAACGTGTGAATTTTATTGATGTAGCGTATATAAAACCTTTGAGTATTTTACATTTTGGCGGTTACTTTGATATATAGTTAATATTAACTAGTAAACAAAAATTTTATCTGTATGCAATCAGTACTTTTTAAAAATTGTTTTTTTCTTATTTCATCATATTTTGATTACGTTAGTGATCAAAATGAAATGATATATTAGACTAGACTGACTATAAATAACCAATTGAAAAGCAATGACTCACTCTCCAATTAAAGTCGATTATCTCATTAATATCAATATCTTCATCATCTTCTCCCATTGGATTCACAAGTGTTTCAGCAACCTAAATAAGAAAGGTAAAACAGCATGTATTGGAATTGAAGCAAAAACATTTTATCTTGGTTATTAGTTCAGAATAAAAGTTGATTATAATGTGATTCATTTAAACTACTGTTAACACTGATATTGGATGAGATTATAAGCGATGCATTCAACGTACAATATATATGCTGAATCCAACTATTTTGAGAGTTTCTCAGTTTATTTAGTGGATTAGTGCTGTATTCTATATGTCATTTTAAGCGGTGGAACATGTCCTCGACTATCTAAGGTGAACTGGTAAACATAACACAACTCACCGGCTAAACAACACAAATTTAATGAAAGTCAAGGTTTGTAATAAAATATTTAGCAAGAATTACACTCTGGTAAACAGCACTTAATAATTGAACAGAAAAATGACCGAAAGTGCTTAGTACATCACACTTATCGAACAGTAAAAACGTTGTGGGTAACCACAGGTTTGAAATTTCAATTATGTTTAAAATTAGGTTAATCTTTTTTATCGTAAACAAATTAATAATGGGCAGTTGGATTATAGTACCTATTTTATCCGTGTAAAAACAGCAAACGGTAAATTACAGTAGATTTGACTATTTATATTACTTATAACTCACTTTTAGCCATCCCACATAAACAAAAAGTTCCAGAAATGTGAAAAACGGAAAGAAAAGATCATGCGAACGTGCTGTGTCTGCAAAAGGTGAACTGCTGATGATGAATTGACTACTTATTAAAGACGCGACAAAATAGGAGTATACAGATAGTGTGACAACCTAAATAATTATGGGGGAAAACAAAAGAAATTAGATTCAACCAACAAATTCTATATGTCTTGATTATTTGTGTAATACACTTGTGTACGATATCTTGTTAATTAAGGCAAACATAAACTTCATCCATGAACTTTAAAAAAGACCTCTTAGTTTATTATAGGTAAAATTGGCAATAATTCCTGCACATGTGCAATTAATAGAAACTGATTGTCCCAGCTATTAATCAAAGAAATGAGGTTGTTTGACTAGACGAAGGATTCCAAACAATATCAAAATAAACTTCAGAATGTCTGTTTCACTGTGAATGTCACATATGTTACAGGTCAGTTTTAACTTTCATGACAGTTTTCAGTAAAATTTGATTTTTGGATGTAGTAAGTAGCTAAATGACGGTATTAACTGAAAACTATATATGATAGAGACAAAAAATACGCTTCGTCTTGATCATCTGCATAAGAAGGAACTCTCCTAACATTATCCACAAATGGTTTTAGATATATAAGTATAAGTGATCCACTTCAAGAATTTGGAAATTGTAAGATCAGACACAACTGAAATCAATTTATGAGTCACTGGTAAAGTTGCTTTCATCACACCTTGTAGATCATATTTTATTTTAATGTTGTCGTAAAATTTGTTACTTAAATAAGAATAAAAGTGTATATATCGTATGAACGGCTAATTTTAAAACAATATTCACAAAAATAGATATCATTCGAGTAAATTACAAAGTGATGAAAAATGAGACTATAAGAAGGTAAATGAAAGTTTGGTTTTACATGCTTAACAGGCTGTTAAATAAAATAATCGTAACTCGATTCACCACACCGGTATTTGCGAATTCTTTTAGTAAAGCAAATAAAATAGAAAAGTTGGAACATTTACTTTCCTTTCTATTGTAGAAACTCTGTATGTTTTGATTTCATTTTGCCGCTTGTGTCCATCTGAATGTTAATGATAGCCGGAAGAACCTTAACATAAAGAATTTACTGTCTTCTTCAGGTATTTAGCCAATCAAAGTAATTTTTCAGGAAAGAAGTAAACCGCATTCTTTACATACATAATAAATAAATGTTTTACTGACTAATTTGAAGGTTAAAACTCTTGAAATTTAAAGATGCGAGCGTTAGAAACTCTCAAAAACAAAGGATATAAGAACAGACAATTGTTTTGAATAACTTCCTGATCAGACACTACAGTTATAAGTGTACAGTTTTTGTATCATAATGGCCTAAGGGAGAGAATAATAGTTAAATGAATTGAATGATGTTATAAAATTTTTTTATTTATTTAAGAACACTGTTAATAGTAATGACGCTCAATTACAGTTGATATAAACGCAACTGAAAAATAAGTTATTGGTTAAACCTTCGTCGGTAAGTAGTTTGGAAGAATTATTTCTGAATAAACGTGTTTATCTAGTTTTCTTTGCATAAGGTCAAATGATGGTTGTGAATATAAATTTTCTGGGCCTGAAAAAGGTGATGGGTTCATTTCGTAAATAGCCTAGCGAGAAAATGTTTAATTCGCTAGAAGTAAACTAACATTTGTGCACAGAAAACAAGTACGTCGATTTTCAACTATAATAGAAAACTTTATCTATCGACTGAACAGAGAAAGGAATAAAATGACACTTTTACTAACCTGTGTATAAACCAATGGAATACAAACATCATCCATCATCATTACATATAATATTTTTTGACGGAAAGTGTTAAGTTCCTGTAAGAAAGTGGAAAATTCGAAATTTCAGCTATAGACAATACGAGAAAATAAACTGAGAAGAAACTACAATCAAAAGTCTGTTAAACAAATTTTTTATCAAATATGAGGAAAATCGTTCAGCTACAGTAGTTTCGTCGTCTTATTACTGTTTAAAATTGATCGTAGACCCGATGTTAAAAGTCACAGGATCGTCAAATGAGATATTGATTGTTTATTAAATCGTACACATCAAGAGGTAAACCATTTGAATCCAGACACACATAGAAGACTATTCTTGCAAAAAACCGTAACGAAGTGAAAATGGAATTTTAATTTATTATCTCAACTGCATTATTGTATTTTTGTCACAACATTAAGTATTTTGCATTAGCTTAAATCAATATCGCGTTGTTAAGACACCTCGTTTCTCAATATGATGAATAATCATTTGTTAAAAAACACGAAACTACACACATTACATTATGGCAAAAAAGCACAGTTCTAATGCCAGCAGTTATTTGACAAACTATTTCAAAATATTTATTAGCGACAATAATCAATTGCATTTCTGACGTAGGCTAGCAAAACACATGCACTCACTATGGCAATAATGCATTCAAGCACTCAAAAAACTTGTAAATTTTAATCACCTTTCCACTAAAAATTTGATAATTAATTTATTGATTGATCAATAGCATATGAGTTTAAACGTTTCACTTCTGATTAAAGTTTTGCAATAACTTGGTATCCCTCTTTACTGTTAATCACCAGTCGGTGTATATATTACATCCAGATGAATATATACCATTAAGGAATTATGTATTTCTGACATCCATGATCTAAATACTGTAAGGTAAACAGTCAGTCACAGAGGTATATATTTGGTCTAATACTGAAGCTGCTTCAAGAATAGATCTTTTCAAAAATTTAGACTTTCTATGACAAAAAATCTGCGTATCTGGAATTTTTGTCATCTTTTCACATGACTCAGAAATACTTATGAGTTATTCTTTTCATCTATTCAAGAAGATTTGGGAGGAGGAACAAGTGCCGATGGGTTCAAAAGAAGGACACATCAAGATTCCAAAGAAAGGAGATCTGAGAAAGTGTGAAAACTACAGAGGCATTACATTACTGTCAATACCGGGTAAAGTCTTCAACAGAGTGTTACTGAACAGGATGAAAGACGCAGTTGACGCTCAACTTCGAGATCAACAAGCTGGATTCCGTAAGGACCGGTCGTGCACAGACCAGATTGCGACACTACGGATCATCGTCGAACAATCAATTGAGTGGAATTCGTCACTCTACATCAACTTCATTGATTATGAGAAGGCATTTGACAGTGCAGATAGGAGGACGTTATGGAAACTTCTTCGACACTACGGAGTTCCTGAGAAGATTGTCAACATTATCCGGAACTCATACGATGGACTACAGTGCAAAGTAGTGAATGGAGGACAGCTGACAGACGCATTCCAAGTAAGGACCGGAGTAAGACAAGGCTGTCTACTCTCTCCCTTCCTGTTTCTTCTGGTGGTCGACTGGATTATGAAGACCTCGACAACTGAGGGAGAACACGGCATACGATGGACAGCTCAGAACCAATTAGACGACTTGGACTTCGCAGATGACATAGCCCTCCTATCACATACACACGAACAAATGCAGATAAAGACAGCCAGCATAGCAGCAGTCTCTGCATCAGTAGGCCTCAACATACACAAAGGGAAAACCAAGGTCCTCAAATACAACACGGAGAACACCAACCCAATGACACTTGATGGTAAAGTTCTGGAAGATGTAGAATCCTTCACATACCTGGGAAGCATCGTCGATAAACAAGGAGGCTCAGATGCAGACGTCAAGGCGAGGATTGGCAAAGCTAGAGCGGCATTCCTTCAACTGAAGAACATATGGAACTCAAAACAACTTTCAACCAATATCAAAGTCAGAATCTTCAATACGAACGTCAAGACAGTTCTACTATATGGAGCTGAAGTTCGGAGAACTACAACAACCACCATCAAGAAGGTACAAGTATTTATAAATAGCTGTCTACGTAAGATACTCAACATCCGTTGGTCGGATACCATCAACAACAGCCTTCTGTGGGAGAGAACAAACCAGATTCCAGCTGAAGAGGAGATTAAGAAAAGACGATGGAAATGGATAGGACATACATTGAGGAAATCATCAAACTGCATTACGAGACAAGCGCTAACTTGGAATCCTGAAGGGAAGCGGAAAATAGGAAGGCCAAAGAATACATTACGTCGGGAAATAGAAGCAGATATCAAAGAGATGAATAAGAACTGGAAAGAGCTTGAAAGGATTGCCCAGGACAGGGTTGGATGGAGAATGCTGGTGAGCGGCCTATGCTCCTTCACGAGGAGCGACAGGCGTAAGTAAGTAAGTAAGTATTCTTTTCAAACATTTATGTTTGTCATTTTTAATAAAATCCTTTCAAACTGTCAATTTTTAAATCATTAGGGTTGCTGAAAAACAACTTACATCTACCAAAAGAACATATGCATGTGGATTTTTGATTAGTCCTTCTTTTTTAGCTAAAGTGATAAGAGAAGTCGCCCATACAACAGGAACAAATGGTTGCATATGAACAGATTGTACACTCCTAATGATTCTTGCTTCGTCCTCGGTAAGTATGCCTGTCAAAATGAAAAGGTGAAATATCTTATATAGTTGCAAACTGAATACTTAATTGAATGACATTTCTTTAAGTAAAAATTAGTCTTAATTTGGAAGAAAAATCAATCAAAAAGACAAGTGGACAGTATACAAAACTCTCGGAAGCCTATATCTGATGGTATTTTTCTAAACCTAAAGCATGTCCAAGCATTTTCTGTAATTTCATGAGGTTACCATCCATCATACATTTTAAATTCAAAGACAACCATTGTAGCAGAATACTATGAATTCATTTATTCTAAGGATTATTTTCAGATGCTTACAACCTTCAAACAATAATATTTATCTTTAAACAAATTTCTGAAAATTTCCACGATTATTGTCTCGTGTTAATCCACATTTAAATCCCGAACCTAAAATTAATCAGGACTTTTTCGACACAAAATATTTATATTTGTTTCATTTCTATTCATTAAAAACTTCAAAATGGTGCATAACAACCTTGTGTTAGACAGAGTGATACCACGCACAACCCACTATTAAGTTTCAGAATGAGTTGTGATCTATTTTACAACATTAATTATATTCTGTTTGATTTAATAATTCATAATATTGAAATAGTATCAAAGGTAAACTTTGAGTATGACTAAAATCAAAATGTTTCATTGCTAAATCACCACTAGTTGATCGAATAAACCTTCACTTAGCAATAATTTGATTAGCTTATTTCTGTCAATCATTTTAGAACACAATGAATTCCAACGAAAATCTGATTTAAGTTTTCTGTCAAAATGTCAATAACAGAAAAGTTAAAAATCTACTTACTGAAGTGAAGATAATTAATTCTAGCGCAAGCGTTACTTGTCGAATTAAAAACGCATATATACTGCCTTATCCGTTCAGTTTAAAAGTATATAACTCAATATCTTGAAGTACGACCATTTTATGCTAGATATCAACATTAATTTTGGTCATTGTATGAAGTCTACATGTGTACAAAACACTAAACGCAAATTTATGACCATGAAACTAATAACACACATCTCGTTGTAAACCACATAGTTGAAGAGTATTATCAAATACTGAAAAGATATGCGTACTGACAAATAAATGGAAATGGAAAGGAGACAAGAGCTTTTATGACCAACGTAAGAGTAAAAGTTGATTTATGGACATCGAAAATCCGGCCAACGTTAATTTTATACAATAGGAAACTCTCTTAAAAACTACCAAATATACCTTGGGCTGAATTTCGGTAGACTACCTTTTAGATTTTTGTTAATTTAGTTACGCTTTACACACAAGTAACCTAACTGATGAATATGAAGGGTTATATAACTATTTGATGTTCGTTTCTAGCACGTACTGACATCAGGAAATTTTATTCCAAGAATAAACAACTCCTAGGTCGACTTAACAATTCCCATTCATCAGTCGCGTTTACTTGTGAAGAGTAGCTTGACAAAAAGTTGTATTCCCTAGACGTTTTGTTAGCAGAAGCTACAAGAATTCTAGCTAAAAACCTTCATTTCTGTATTCAAAATAAATTTGTAACACCTCTACCTATAAAATAAAGAATATTCTTTTGAATAGATTTTCTTTAAGTTCTACGGATATACATCAAAATTAATAATCCAAAAAAAGGCCAGGTTTAAAGCATAGTACATCGTTTAAAATTATAACATGTTAATTTAGGGTTTTGAAATAAAATTGTTCATGTTGATATGATTAATATGCAATGTTAATTTGAATAGGTTTATACGTTAGATGAAATGGTGTTAAGCAAACTAACCATGTGTTCAATAGAATTATAGTGATAGTAAACCAATAATAATAACAATAGTAGTACGAAGAGAATTATATCATTATATTATACCATTATGTTGTATTATATTTCATCTCAATTTCAGCATTTTATCATGCTGAGCCTTCCTTTCCCAATCATAATTTTCCTATCTATCTTCTTGATGAATATTCAAGCCGTCAACAACAGAACTATTTTCAGTTTCGTAGTGGCTAGTAGTGGAATCCAGGACGCGCGTTTCGTCCTATTTGGAACTCGCCAGCTGGATGTACCTGCAATTTCGAGGCAGTCCTCATATGCCAACAAGAGACTGATCAATTGCAGTCCCAAACAACAATGGGAAGATACAAGCAAACAATACCAAGTGTATTTTCAGTTTCCCTGATAACAATAGCGTTTTAGTATATTTTTTATTCTACCTCACTGTTACCATGTTTAACAGAATTTTAATATCGCTAATATTGTAATTATTATAACCTTGAAAAATAATTATTTATCTGCAATTGTACAGCTATAAAAAGAAATTCACTGAAAAGAGAACTCTTCGCTGAACCAATGTTTCTTACAATTATATTTGACTAAGAAAGGTTGTCCTTCTACAGACAAGGGCGATAGCCATTCGGATCAAGAAGCCACAACTAAGTATGCAAAAAAGTATCTTTAACTTTTTTCTTACCTTGGCCAACCTCATGGGCAATTCATCGATAGCAATCTGAACTATTAAATGACCTAGTTTGACTAAAGTACATACAGCCCTTCTTAGTCAAATATAATTATCTTTGTGATATAGATAATAATAATTTTAAACGTCTAGTTTTTAAACTTTTGACCAACTTCCTGTGTATTTTCTTTTTATCAGGTTGTTTACTTTTATTTGATTTACTTCTGTATTCGTCCTGTTACTAACTATTCGTACTTTACTCATTACGATTAATCCTGTAGTCCATTTTTATTCCTATACCTAACTAATAAATTCCCTTGATTGATATGACAGTTTTCACATAGGTATACAACTACCACCATTAAGTGTTTTTCTTAAGTTGATTTTACTGAATAATGTACATTGAGTTTAAGCTCAAAAATCTGCTTAAACAAAGATATATTTGTGATATTCCAATGAGCAGGAATTTAGACTTCTGTTTTTTAACTGTATGTAAGCCACCTCTTCAGAGCAAACAAATAAATAATTAACTAATTAGACAGTATATAGGAACAAGGGAGAACATTTAGTTCAATCAAAACTAAAATAGGATGGTCTTTCTAATGATGATAAATGTGTCATTACATATCTGAGCCAGATGTATGGCCTGATGGTACTGACAAAAATCAGTGACTCAAATTGCGACATAACGAAATTAGCAAAAATTAGAGACGTTAGAAATCTCATGGCCACTTCATTTGTTCATTTACATAACGTCTCTTCAGAGGTAGAAAGCGTTGAATTCAAGCATGGTTTGAGGGACTTCATGATTAATCTAGTGCATAACAGAGATCTGCTGCATAGAACATCATCATTCTCTGGTAAGCTATCCATAAACTGTAAGTATCTATCGATTAGAATACTAGTTTATAAAGATATAACATCATAGCCTACCATTATTTCATTCTCTTTGACAGATAATTTCGAAATCTTTTATTTGGAAGGCCACCTCTAATTTATTTCGACAAACTAAAAGCATTATTAACAAATTATTTTCCCGTGACATTATGCAAAACACGTGAAAAGGAGCAGTTCAACAAATTATTTCGTGCTCCGAATCAAACTACCAGAGATTTTATACTACAGCTTTAAATGTAGTGGACATCTGAATATTCTTCTTATAGAGCAGTTGACTCCCAATGTCACTGATTCTAAACTGAGGCGACAGCTTACACTAATTCTTTGTTGTACCCTTCGAATAGTTGAAGATCTCCGCCTCACATATTCAAATTTTAGTATTGATAATAACGATGCTTTTGCGACACAGCATGATGTACCATTATTGAATGTGAATAAACACACTACATTAATAAACTTCAGATTTCCTCGGACAGAATCCGCTCTAATTTATTCAGCTAAATTAATAATTCTAAAATTACTTCAAATTCGCATATGGGTATCAAAACCTACATTTTATGTCATAAATTGTATCTTCGTACTTCATGTAAGCTTCATCATGCACGTCGCCATGAATGTGGAGGAGTAAGACATATTGGGGAAAATTTTAAAATTTCCAAGTTGTTGGTTTCTAAAATAGTGGATAATCATTTAGTGGGATCAGCTGATTTGAACATAGATTTTTTATCACTTACTACCAACTGCATCAGTACCTTACACATTATCAGTGCAGGCGAATCCCATTCATTTACCGTCGATACTGGTAACATAGAGTCGATTGTCAATTTAATGCTTACAAGTAATGAGACTGAAGATATACTATAATAATTACGAAGGTCGAAGTATCTTTATAAGATGGACCTAAAAGATGCATATTTACAAACTTCAGTGGATGGAATCGTGGTGTTTGCAGCTGATGCCTACAGATATAAGTACTATGTATCATCAATCAAAAGTGAAATGCCTGGCAGCAAAAATTAAGAACAAAGAAAGAGGACGAGAACAAAGAATGATTGGTGTGGAATCGAAAGAACAATGAAGTCTGAGACAATTGATTGATATTTTGCAAACGAAGTATTTAATATGCGGTCCTCAGATTTTAATAAAATGTTCTGTAATTTTGTGTTCAAATACATTCGACTGTCTCCACTTGTGTTCCCGTTCACAACAAAACTTCTAGCGAACTAACTTCTATTATTACACAAATTAGGCTGTACTGAAACGAATTCCTGCCGTTCAAACTAAGCGTTTCTCGTGAAATATTCCAGGAGGTCGTACCTCAAAATATTACTGATCTTGATAGTATTGAATCGTATCAAGAGTATTTCTTAGTTTATGCTGCAAATATTGAGTTGCGTAATGAACATTCTTTAAAGTTATACGGACGCTTTTGTGACATAAATATTGTCACAAGCTTATTCAAGTTCCAGTTCCAAATTAATTCTATCAATTTCCCAGGCTATATTTAATGTCAAGGATTTGCAATCTGATATGAGTTGGAAGGAGTTTTAAAACATGAGAGAAGATATGTCACTACAAACTGGAGTTTAGTTTGTCTTTTAATGTTAGAATAATTATCTTTATTGCTTAGATTTATAACTCTAGATGGTCTTCACTATGGCCATCTGCGAGTGAAACAATTAGAATCACTTTGTCGTTAGGTATGATGCCCTGTGATTTATGCTGATGTAAGTCGAATATCGAAAAATTATCCTGCTTGTTTGCATAGGGTTTCGTATGATTAAATTACTTGAAATCCTTGGCCATCATCTTATGGACTGTGTCAATGTATTAACGCCGATTACTAAATTCCATTTTAAACTGGTATTATGCTTTATTTGCTACTGATTCATAACTCAAATCGTAAGGAGTGGTACTCATGAATAGTCCATGGAAAAAATTTGCTGAGTGAACAGAGAAAAAGATATTTTGTAGCAATAGGATTCTCAGTATGATAAATGAACCCATTTCCCACATAACCATTTAATGCACTTACTTACGCCTGTTACTCCTAATGGAACATAGGCTGCCGATCAGCACCCTCCAAGCCACTCTGTCCTGGGCCTTCTTTTCTAGTTCCATCCAATTCTTGTTCATTTTCCTCATGTCTATCTCCATTTCCCGGTGTAATGTGTTCTTTGGTCTTCCTCTCCTCCTTCTACCTCGAGGATTCCATATGAGGGCTTGTCTTGTGACGCAGTTGGGTGCTTTCCTCAATGTGTGTCCTATCCACTTCCAGCGCTCCTTTCTGATTTCTTCCTCCACTGGGATCTGATTTGTTCTCTCCCACAGTAGGTTGTTGCTAATAGTGTCTGGCCAACGGATTCGAAGTATGTTCCATAGACAACTGTTAATAAACGCCTGTATCTTTTGGATGATGGATTTCGTGGTTTTCAAGGTTTCCGCCTCATACAGTAGAACTGTCTTGACATTTGTATTGGTAATCCTGACCTTGGTGTTGGTTGACAGTTGTTTTTAGTTCCAGATGTTCTTCAGTTGTAAATATGCTGCTCTTGCTTTGCCAATCCGTGCCTTCACATCTGCATCAGATCCACCGTGTTCATCGATGATGATGCCCAAATATGTAAAGGTTTGTACATTTTTCAGATCTTCTCCGTCAATTATGATTGGATTGGTGCATGCTGTGTTGTATCAGAGAATCTTGCTTTCCCTTTTGTGTATATCGAGACCTATTGCTGCTGAGGCTGCTGCTACACTGGTCGTCTTCCCCTTCAGTTGTTGTTGCGTTTGCAATAGGAGAGCCAGATCATCTGCAAAGTCTAGATCATCCGACTGTATCCTAGATGTCCACTGTATCCCGTGCTTCCCTTCAGATGTTGACGTCTTCATGATCCACATTTAACGCACGGCCCAAGGATATTGGATACTGTCGTTTACTTACAAATCCACGTCATACCTAGCTTAAAGGCTAGACAGTAAACATTTTTAAAACCTTGATAACTGATGTCATATCAGTAAATCCAAGTTATTCAAAACTAAAAAGCATCAGCAACGTTTCACCTCAATATCATAACGTAGGGCATTTACAAGCTTCCTAATGCCCAGATAAAGTTTTCAAAACTTATGTACTTCAAACTCGTTCACTGGGCACACATAAATAAAAGTACATTTTTACCGAAGAAATAACCATTGACTAACTTCATGAATTCTAATTCAGAAATGAATGGCCGGATGATAACAAATCACTACACTCACTTGGTGACTTCAATGTAGTTAGAGATAAGTCCATACAGTTAGACGTTTCGATGACTTGGTTGTATTAGTATGCAATAGTAGTAGAAGTATGGTTTGAAAAATATCATGTAACCTGAAACATATATTCTTTTACGGTAAAGAATCATTAATTGTTACTTCACTGCAATATGTTCCATTCCCCGCCTAATAATAAACCCTCCAAAATTAATAAACGGTTGTCTGATTTCAGGATTTGCCTCTCATTAGTGGTATGTAAATATAAGAAGAAAACATGTCCCTTAATTACTTCAGTCATATTTTGTCATCTTCGTAAAAGTAAACTTAGTGGTTTTTGTCCTTTAAGTAAAGCTTAATATACCTACCGAAGAGTGCAATCAAACAGTACACCGATGTCTGGACATCCAACTTCTGTACATTGTGTCACGAAACCGACACTACTTCAAAAGCATTCAGTCTTAGATAAAAATAAAAACTAGCAACATTTAAAACTAATATGTTGGTCAACATTAGTTAATTACAGCCTTTATTACAACATACAGCAACCAAAATAAATTACCTGAAGCAACGAAGAGCTCAAAAGTTGGAAAACGTTTCTTGACTACGACATTAAGATGGGCAGTTGCAATTATAAAATTTGCCATAACATATCTCATGCATGTCCGACGTATCAGACGATTGCGTTCTGCGCTACCGGGAAGGTGGGTAACAAGAGTAAGTGCGAAACTCATTACCCACGGAATCGTCGTGAAATAGTTCCAAAAGCGTGCGAAAACTAAGGCAACATAAAAACCAAGGATAAATGCAACCGGGATCATAGCTTGGAATTTGGAAGTGAATAGAATCAGACGTTCAAAATTTCTAAAATGTCAGTTACCTATCAATAAAAATTGCTTACCTTTGTGCGTTCTCAGAAATTACAAACCGATACAAGCAGCTGATCAATGTATAAAGAGAAGCAAATATAATGAGATCCAGCATAATCAGCTTTAATACACCTCCTCTCCATCTAAAAATGAAAATTACGGAAAATTTAGTACCTTAAGAGAAGACGGAAGAATATTCCAGGACCCCCAGTAAGTACAAACTGATTGTATTGGACAGTCATCTACGATATTTCCTGCAGCATTTCACCAGACGTAATAACATTAAATAACAACGTCGATTTATTAAAAAAAGTACAACAATGTGAAATTACCAATAAAAACGTTATTGTTTGAAACAATCTTCATATAACGTTACCAAAAATACAGATAGCGCGAAACGACAATCTCATCAAAAAATTTATAGATAAGTCAGAAATCTATTAAAATTAATATTCATACGACAAAAAATGCTAACGAACTTAGTTGGCAATAATATTCAACAAAAAACGAAAACAAACGCAACAAGCGATGGCTCATGCAATCTCTCCAAGCAAAACTAAACAAGTAAGATAACGCGTTAACACAAGAATCGAATAAAAACGCGCTCTTCAAAAGCGAAATCAAACTTAACGATTTCAACAACATTTTCCAAAAACACAATGAACAGAAGGAAATTATTCAATCAAACAAATAAATTACATGAACAAAAATAAAGCGACAGAGTGATTCGATGTGGTCCGACACCTTCACTGACCAACACATCTACAGAAGTGATTGTCACTTCATGTCTCCTCTCTGCAATACGTCTTCAAAGACAATCCAGACTGATTAGTGAATGACTCATCCGGTGTATTGCTCCTAATTTATTATCTAATTGTTTTCGTGCTTACACATACTCTTTCCATTCTACTTAATAGTTTAACCTAATACCAACAGGTCCTCCAACCACTTGTCTTTCCTTCCCGATCTGTTCACACTAGTGAATTATCGCAATTAATTTTCCGATGACAATTCTGATGCAAACAACAGATAAGAGAAGTTAGTCTCCGAATTCTCACGGTTTATTAAGACACACTGTATTAAGCGAACACTGACACCACTTTCAAACGTACATTTCAGTGTTCTGATGAACCGATCCTGTAGTAGGCAGCAAATAATCATATGCTAGTCATGCTTGTGTCAAAAACTCATCGTAAAGGGTTCTGTGTGCCAAAATGGATTATTCACATAAGAACAGTTTCCTCACACCTGACATACGAGTAACACCTAAGATAATATTACCTTTATTCAATCACTCAGACTTGTAAATTCGGTTAACTATATTCCAGTGTCTATCGGTTACTCACAGTCATGCGTGTGTATACTAGTAATCAACCAGTGCGTACACTATGAATGCATACACTTGTTGTCTAATCGATTATCACTTATCTGTAAATTAGTGGGCAGGAAATTTGGCACGTCACCGGCTGCGACTTATTCTCACTTCGTTGTACTTAAAGCATTTCGCTGTTCTTTAATCACAACAAGTTCTCATCAAGCAACATCTTAGATGCTCCTCAACAAGATTGTTCATTTGATAGATGTTCTGTGAATGAATAAACACTGAATTGGCGTGACCAACTGGTCAAATTATGCTACATCATGTAATCTACTTGGTGACGCATTTCACAAACTTGGTCAGTAAAATCAACACTACAGTTGTGAGGAAAACACTTGTTCACAATGCGAGAATAGTCCAATCAAGTCAGTTCGTTTGATCACCTACTAGCCATAACCCTGTCTAAATCTTGAATAGTGAACCTATTTATTCTACTCTTTGTCTTATCTCCAATACAGTTTCTCCTGGTTTTATGCCATCAAATATATAGTCACATCGATTATCCCTTGGTAAAATGTGATCAGCGGAACCGAAGCACTACACAGTTCGTAACTTTCTCATCTAACTGTCATTAGCATGAATAAAGAGGTTGGTTAAATCTAGGAAACTTGGATGTCTACAAATGTAAGTGAGAATACTACCAACCGATTGGTACAACAGAGAGAATGAGAAATATAATCGGTCTCCACCTTGCAATTCCATACACTACATCGTCACTTAGCAGTAATCAGCTAGCCACAATCGACAGACGAAATGAGTCCGATGCTGTCAATATCCACAGGAAACCTGTCTCCATCAACCACAGCTCGAGACCAACCAAAGAGAATACGGAGAATAGTGTCAATCCACTACAACACCAGACAGAGTGATTCGATGTGGTCCGACACCTTCACTGACCAACACATCTACAGAAGTGATTGTCACTTCATGTCTCCTCTCTGCAATACGTCTTCAAAGACAATCCAGACTGATTAGTGAATGACTCATCCGGTGTATTGCTCCTAATTTATTATCTAATTGTTTTCGTGCTTACACATACTCTTTCCATTCTACTTAATAGTTTAACCTAATACCAACAGGTCCTCCAACCACTTGTCTTTCCTTCCCGATCTGTTCACACTAGTGAATTATCGCAATTAATTTTCCGATGACAATTCTGATGCAAACAACAGATAAGAGAAGTTAGTCTCCGAATTCTCACGGTTTATTAAGACACACTGTATTAAGCGAACACTGACACCACTTTCAAACGTACATTTCAGTGTTCTGATGAACCGATCCTGTAGTAGGCAGCAAATAATCATATGCTAGTCATGCTTGTGTCAAAAACTCATCGTAAAGGGTTCTGTGTGCCAAAATGGATTATTCACATAAGAACAGTTTCCTCACACCTGACATACGAGTAACACCTAAGATAATATTACCTTTATTCAATCACTCAGACTTGTAAATTCGGTTAACTATATTCCAGTGTCTATCGGTTACTCACAGTCATGCGTGTGTATACTAGTAATCAACCAGTGCGTACACTATGAATGCATACACTTGTTGTCTAATCGATTATCACTTATCTGTAAATTAGTGGGCAGGAAATTTGGCACGTCACCGGCTGCGACTTATTCTCACTTCGTTGTACTTAAAGCATTTCGCTGTTCTTTAATCACAACAAGTTCTCATCAAGCAACATCTTAGATGCTCCTCAACAAGATTGTTCATTTGATAGATGTTCTGTGAATGAATAAACACTGAATTGGCGTGACCAACTGGTCAAATTATGCTACATCATGTAATCTACTTGGTGACGCATTTCACAAACTTGGTCAGTAAAATCAACACTACAGTTGTGAGGAAAACACTTGTTCACAACTGCGAGAATAGTCCAATCAAGTCAGTTCGTTTGATCACCTACTAGCCATAACCCTGTCTAAATCTTGAATAGTGAACCTATTTATTCTACTCTTTGTCTTATCTCCAATACAGTTTCTCCTGGTTTTATGCCATCAAATATATAGTCACATCGATTATCCCTTGGTAAAATGTGATCAGCGGAACCGAAGCACTACACAGTTCGTAACTTTCTCATCTAACTGTCATTAGCATGAATAAAGAGGTTGGTTAAATCTAGGAAACTTGGATGTCTACAAATGTAAGTGAGAATACTACCAACCGATTGGTACAACAGAGAGAATGAGAAATATAATCGGTCTCCACCTTGCAATTCCATACACTACATCGTCACTTAGCAGTAATCAGCTAGCCACAATCGACAGACGAAATGAGTCCGATGCTGTCAATATCCACAGGAAACCTGTCTCCATCAACCACAGCTCGAGACCAACCAAAGAGAATACGGAGAATAGTGTCAATCCACTACAACACCAGACAGAGTGATTCGATGTGGTCCGACACCTTCACTGACCAACACATCTACAGAAGTGATTGTCACTTCATGTCTCCTCTCTGCAATACGTCTTCAAAGACAATCCAGACTGATTAGTGAATGACTCATCCGGTGTATTGCTCCTAATTTATTATCTAATTGTTTTCGTGCTTACACATACTCTTTCCATTCTACTTAATAGTTTAACCTAATACCAACAGGTCCTCCAACCACTTGTCTTTCCTTCCCGATCTGTTCACACTAGTGAATTATCGCAATTAATTTTCCGATGACAATTCTGATGCAAACAACAGATAAGAGAAGTTAGTCTCCGAATTCTCACGGTTTATTAAGACACACTGTATTAAGCGAACACTGACACAACTTTCAAACGTACATTTCAGTGTTCTGATGAACCGATCCTGTAGTAGGCAGCAAATAATCATATGCTAGTCATGCTTGTGTCAAAAACTCATCGTAAAGGGTTCTGTGTGCCAAAATGGATTATTCACATAAGAACAGTTTCCTCACACCTGACATACGAGTAACACCTAAGATAATATTACCTTTATTCAATCACTCAGACTTGTAAATTCGGTTAACTATATTCCAGTGTCTATCGGTTACTGACAGTCATGCGTGTGTATACTAGTAATCAACCAGTGCGTACACTATGAATGCATACACTTGTTGTCTAATCGATTATCACTTATCTGTAAATTAGTGGGCAGGAAATTTGGCACGTCACCGGCTGCGACTTATTCTCACTTCGTTGTACTTAAAGCATTTCGCTGTTCTTTAATCACAACAAGTTCTCATCAAGCAACATCTTAGATGCTCCTCAACAAGATTGTTCATTTGATAGATGTTCTGTGAATGAATAAACACTGAATTGGCGTGACCAACTGGTCAAATTATGCTACATCATGTAATCTACTTGGTGACGCATTTCACAAACTTGGTCAGTAAAATCAACACTACAGTTGTGAGGAAAACACTTGTTCACAACGCGAGAATAGTCCAATCAAGTCAGTTCGTTTGATCACCTACTAGCCATAACCCTGTCTAAATCTTGAATAGTGAACCTATTTATTCTACTCTTTGTCTTATCTCCAATACAGTTTCTCCTGGTTTTATGCCATCAAATATATAGTCACATCGATTATCCCTTGGTAAAATGTGATCAGCGGAACCGAAGCACTACACAGTTCGTAACTTTCTCATCTAACTGTCATTAGCATGAATAAAGAGGTTGGTTAAATCTAGGAAACTTGGATGTCTACAAATGTAAGTGAGAATACTACCAACCGATTGGTACAACAGAGAGAATGAGAAATATAATCGGTCTCCACCTTGCAATTCCATACACTACATCGTCACTTAGCAGTAATCAGCTAGCCACAATCGACAGACGAAATGAGTCCGATGCTGTCAATATCCACAGGAAACCTGTCTCCATCAACCACAGCTCGAGACCAACCAAAGAGAATACGGAGAATAGTGTCAATCCACTACAACACCAGACAGAGTGATTCGATGTGGTCCGACACCTTCACTGACCAACACATCTACAGAAGTGATTGTCACTTCATGTCTCCTCTCTGCAATACGTCTTCAAAGACAATCCAGACTGATTAGTGAATGACTCATCCGGTGTATTGCTCCTAATTTATTATCTAATTGTTTTCGTGCTTACACATACTCTTTCCATTCTACTTAATAGTTTAACCTAATACCAACAGGTCCTCCAACCACTTGTCTTTCCTTCCCGATCTGTTCACACTAGTGAATTATCGCAATTAATTTTCCGATGACAATTCTGATGCAAACAACAGATAAGAGAAGTTAGTCTCCGAATTCTCACGGTTTATTA